AAAAAAAAAAAGAGAGAGAGAGAATATAATAAGGATGTAGACACACACAAATTATACACATAAAGAGATGCATGAAAGAATTCTCAAATGTTATGATAGTTATCTAAGAGAACAGAAACATATTTTCTCCCTTATATTTATATATGGGATAGATATAAAGTTTTAAATTGCACAGGAACTTCATGTCCACCCTCTATTGTTCAAATGCATCAAACAGTGAACATAAATAATTTTTTTAAAAATTTGGCAGGGGGGAGGGATTTGAGATGCATCTCTCTGTCACTCCGGCTATAAAGCCATGGTGTCAGCCAAGCTCACAGCAACCTCAAAAGCTTGGGTTCAAGCTATTCTCGTCTCAGCTTCCTGAGCAACTGGGACTACAGGAGCCCACCACAATAAATTTTTTTTCTATTTTTAGTAGAGACCAGATCTGATTTTGCTCAGGCTGATCTCAAATATAATTTTTAAAAAATTTATTTTTTTTTGAGACAGAGCCGCAAGCTGTCCCCCTGGGTAGAGAGCTGTGACATCATAGGTCACAGAAACCTCCAACTCCTGGGCTCAAGTGATACTCCTGCCTCCACCTCCCAAGTAGCTGGGATTACAGGCGCTCACCACAACGCCCCGCTATTTTTTGGTTGCAGCCGTCATTGTTTGGCAGGCGCGGGCTGGATTCAAACCCACGAACTTGGGTCTATGTGGCTGGCACCTTAGCCGCTTGAGCCACAGGCACCGAGCCTATAATTAAAAATTTAAAAAGCAAAAATAATAGCTATTTTATTGGGGGAAAAACTTTTTTGTCCATGCAGCTGACTATATCAGTAGATAGTAAGCCTTATAGTTAAGAGGTTAGGAGAACTACATTCCAATCTAGTATTCTGCTACCATGATTAAATAACTATGGTTAAATTCTATAGAGATCTATAAACTCTTTAGAAATCAGCCCCCATGTAGAACTTATTTCTCTTCTACCTAAAGCTGTACTGTCCGATATCGTAGCTGCTTAGCCACATTTTAAAATATATAATTAGGGCTGGGCATGGTGGCTGATGCCTATAATCCTAGGACCCTGGGAGGCCAGGGCAGGTGGATTGTTTGCACTTAGGAGTTCAAGATCAGCCTGAGCAAGAGCAAGACCTCATCACTAAAAATAACTGGGCAGGGGCAGCACCTGTGGCTCAAGTAGGACGCCGGCCCCATATACCAGAGGTGGTGGGTTCAAACCCAGCCCCAGCCAAAAACTGCAAGAAAAAAAAAAAAAAACTAAAATACATATATATATGTAAAAATAACCAGGCATAGTGGTGGGTGCCTATAGTCCCAGCTACTCGGGAGGCTGAGGCACCGGGAGTTGGAGGTTGCTGTGAGCTGTGTGACACCATGGCACTCCACTGAGGGCAATAAAGTGAGACTCTGTCTCTACAAATAAATAAATAAGAAAGACTGCTACCATTATACTTCTGTTATTCAGGCTGCCATCTGTCTTTATGGTTTTCTTTCCTCCTCTAATCTATTTTATTTTATTTTACTTTTGCAGTTTTTGGCCAGGGCTGGGTTTGAACATGCCACTTCTGGCATATGGGGCCGGCGCCCTACTCCTTTGAGCCACAGGAACCGCCCCTCTATTTTATTTACATCCTGTTTCCTTCCAAAAATAATTCCAAAAGCATGTAAAAGAACATATAAGGTTAAAGAAATAACAAAGTCATAGTCAAAAAAGAGGAAACAAATCTTCTTTTAGTGTAACAGTAGCTGTACTTGATCATCAAATTTGACCATGAGCTTCCTAGAAGCCAGGGCAAGAGGGAAAATAGGGTAAACTACATAGTTCTCATTATAAGAAAGAGAAAAAAATATCAATTTCTTTAGGATGACAATTTACCCAGGCAGTAAGTTCTGAGTTCTTTCTTCAAAGAATCTGATAAATATAGAGGGTTCAAGCTCCTTTCCTGACAAGTTTTTACAGCAACTGAAAAGCAGTTTCTATACAGCTAAGGTGTTCGAAGTACTCTAACTTCCAGTGGTATAAATTGATCCCAAGAGAGTTTTGACTGCCGCGGGGAGTGGATGGGTATTGCCTCACTACTGTGGCAGACTGATCTTTTCTCTAAGTGAGCCCTTGTTAAAGGGAAATCACTAATCAGGGTAGTAGTATTTCTCAGTAGTTTGGTAAAGGTCGAATGGAGGAGGAGGTAATAAAAACTAACAGCTAAATAGAGATTCAAGTTCTCAGTGGATTTCCTTTAACCACCCTAGGGCACCTCTCTCTTGGCCTGAATAGCTGTAAATAGATGTCACGGAGGTAGAAGACTTCATTATCTTTATTAATTATGTTCCAGCTCTGACCCTCTGTTCCTCTGAGCTCTAGCCCTGGGCAAACAGCCCAATGCAGAAGCTGTCCAGGTGAATCTCACCTGCAGCCCCAGCTTGCACAGTGCTGGGGTCAACGAGGAGCAAATAGGGGTCCCTGTTCCATAAGTGGCAAGGGCACCGGGCTGCAGTTTAAGTTCTCGGAGAGGAGTTCTCATAGCTGGATTTCCCTAAGAAAGCAGGAAGAGAGAGAGTGTAAGAAGGATTGGGTTCTGCCCACCTGCGCGCCCTTGTTCCCTCCCTAACAAGCCCAAAAAGCGATAGAAGAGTAGGCTCCTATCCCAGTAGCCAGGAAGCGGCGGGGCGGACAAAGACTTCACACGTCCCCCAACCCCCACCCCAGGCTCAACCCAGCTTTCCCAGCCAGCGCCACCGCCCCACTAGCCCCGGCCCAGCTCTCTCTCCACTAGAACTGTGCCGCTTACCGGTTGGGGTGAAGGCGACAGAGTGAGGCTCAGGTTTTTCACCCGCCACATCTTCAACACAGAAGACAAATCAATCACCTCTCAAACCGAACCGAAGACGCCATGCTCACCCGCCGTCTTTATTTGAACTTGCTCCGCGCTTCCCGATTGGCTGCATCGGGAGGGCGCGTCCGTAGGCCCGAGCCCTCGGGTGTGGGCGGGGCCGAGTGTTGACCACGCCCAGCCCCCCCGGACGGCGCCCTCGCGGGACCAAACCCCCGCTGCCCGCACCGGTGGGAGGTCAGGACGCGGGCCTGGCTCAAGGCGGGTCTTGTGTCCTCACATCGAGGAGGATGCTGCAGGTAGCCGGAGAGTCAGAGTCGAGGAGTCCATCCTTCCTGCTTTACTGGCACTTCTCGTTCTTGTCAGAAAAGTTGTCGCCCTGGGCTGGACTGGACTTACGAAGTCTCTCGGGTTCCCGTGGTTACCTCCCGCCTCAGCTTGACAAAAAAGGGCCGGCCCCAGAGAGCCTGGAGCGGTTTTCACCTCGGCTTGGCGGGCGGGTCGGCGATGTCAGCGCGTGGGTCCCACTTCCGCGACCGCCTGCGACCGGGTTCTCAACCTGGCCGTCATGCCTCGTTATAACCGGTCTTTTCTCGAGACATAAATTCGGCCTGCGACAAGTTTACTGGAATAATAGCTAACATGTACGAACATTTATGCTGTGCCTGGCGCTGTTCCAGATGCTTTGTGTTTATTAACTGGTTTAATCCACGTAAGGACCTCTGAAGTAAGCCCTATAAATATCCCCATTTTATTTACTTGGAGATAGTCTCAGTTTGTTGCCCTCAGTAGAGTGCGGTACCATCACAGCTCACAGCACCCTCAAACTCTTGGGCTCAAGCGATTCTCTTGCCTCAGCCTCCCAAGTAGCTGGGACTACCCCTCTGTGGCACCCGCCACAACGCTGGCTATTTTTAGAGACGGGTCTTGCTCTTGCTCAGGCTGGTTTTGAACCTGTAAGCTCAGGCAATCCACCTGCCTCAGCCTCCCAGAGTGTTAAGATTACAAGCGTGAGCCACTGCGCCTGGCCTGGTTTTTTGAGACAGTCTCACTTTGTTGCCCTCCATAGTGTGGTGGCGTCACAAATCACAGCAACCTCAAACTCTTGGGTTCAAGTGATCCTCTTGCTTCAGTCTCCATAGTAACTAGGGTGCACACACCACAAAGCTTTTTATATATATACATTTTTTTCTTTTTTTAAAAAGAGATGGGGTCCTGCTCTTGCTCAGGCTGGTCTCCAATCCTTAATGCTCAGGCATTCCACCTGCCTCAAGCTCCCAGAGTGCTAGGCTTACAAGGTGTGACCCGTGCACCCAGCCTATATCCCCATCATCAAGACAGGGCACATGGCTCGGCACCTGTGGCTCAAGTGGCTAAGGCGCCAGCCACATACACCTAAGGTGGCGGGTTTGAATCCAGCCCGGACCTGCCAAA